AGAGATAATCCTCATGTTTTTTTGTGTTTACAATAAGCTGTGAAGATCTAGAAGCGTAAATAATTGTTATAATTATGATAATTGTAATTGTAGATTATATTGATTTACAATTCCTTATTTTATATAAATCAGGTTAAAAAAATTTTGCGATTAGCTGATCAAGTCGGTAAAAAGGTTTCGAAGGTTAAATGTATCAAAAAACGGTGGTATAATAATGAAAGATAGTTCGACAAATTAAAACCACCGCTAGATAATCTTTCTGCCTGAACTATTTCAATCACATATTATTCTGAAGAAGACGACGAAGGAGATAATAATAGTGATGATAGTAATAATGATACTGATGATTATGATGATGAGATAGATAAACTAGAAAGTGATTTAGAACTTGATAATAACACTGACGCAAGTAGTAGTAGTACTACTAGAAGTAATAAAACACTGAAAAAAACTAGTGCAAGTGGCAGTAGTGCCAGAAGTAATAATATACTAAAAAAAGCCGATGCAAGTGGCAGTGGTACCGATACACCGAAAAAAGCTGATGCAAATAGCAGTGGTACCGAAAGTAATAATACACTGAAAAAAGCCAATACAAGTGGCAGTGGTGCCAGAAGTAATAATATACCAAAAAAAGCTAGTGCAAGTGGCAGTGGTGCTGATATATCGAAAAAAGCCAGTGCAAGTAGCAGTGGTGCTGAAAGTAATAATATACCGAAAAAAGCCGGTGCAAGTAGCAGTGATGTCAGAAGTAATAATAACTGTAACAATAGTTATATTTTTTTTTTAGATTCTTTTTAGCAACCCAGTCCTGTTGTTATTGCTAAATGGAATTGAAATATTCGATTAGAAGTGTTTTATATTAGTTTTTTAAGAGAATCGTTTTGTAGGTTTTATTGAAATTTGTACACCTCAAACACTTATCTCAATAAAACTCACAAAATAATTCTTTTAAAAACCCAATATAAAACACCTTTAATCAAATATTTTGATTACACTATAATCATTTTTCAGTTTATTAAAGAATTGTTTATTAAACAATATTCTGAAACTACAATCAAATACTAACCTCTCTATATTGCTCTAATCAATAAAATTTTTTTTACTAATTTTTAATTTTATATATTATTTAAATAAATTTAGAGTACAGTCACACCACTGAGATACAAAAGCCTATAATTGTAAAGAAGTATGACTAATATAGAAGTATTTTCTATATAGTTATAGATAATTGGTAAAACTAAAATTGTAATAATATCAATTTTATGACTATAGAGGAGGTGACTATAGAGAGGTTTGACTGTAGAGACTAGTTTATTTAGTAGTATATAATTTTTAAAAGCATTTTATAACCTAACAGTATAAATATAATATTAAAATAGACAAATTTTTTGTTTTTTTTGAACTTCCTTATTCTTTTCTTTTTTGTTTATATTGTAATATAGATGAATTTTTATTAATATTTTTTTTATATATTTTTTAAATGTTACTGTATTATATATATTTTTATATTATTATTATATATTTTATCTTTTTATTAGTTTATTTATATAGTTTATAGTTTTGCTTAAGTGAAAAAAAAAAAATATATATATATAGTTTATAGTATATTTTATCTATTTTAGATATTTATACAATAGTTTATTACATATTTTATTAGTATACTTTTTACAAAATTTTATTTAAAGCAATATTTGCTTTAATACAGTATTTAATTATTAGTTTGTTTAATATAATAGAGTACAGAGCAAGGCTACATAAGTAATACAAAGTATATGTGGTGTCCCAGGATGCTCCAGGACCTTTTAGAATGATGTATTAATAGTCATTTAATTGTATTACTAATTTTAGAAATAAT